CTGGGTCCCTACGCTGCTGCTGCCGACAGCCAGCCAGGTAAAGGGGCACAAGGGAAGGCCACGGGCCGCTTTTGTGGTTGGGGCTGGGGACTGGAGCTCCCAGTGATGGCGGGCGAGGACAGGATGTGGGGCTGTGTGGGCTGGCGTGCTGTTGTGGCACACACCAGGGACCCTGCGACCCCTGATGTGTCCCAGGACCTGCAGCACCTGTATGGCCCCTTGCAGTGGGGCTGCCAGGAGGGTCAGGCTGTACCAGGGAGCCGTGTTGGGGTGTCCTTGTGACCACTGCAGTGCTGGAGCATTTCTGACCCCACCAGCCCCCTGGGACTGCTCCTGCCCCATCACTCTACTGGCAGATCCTATTGGCCCGTGCCATGTGTGGATGCTGGCCAGGATGGTCAGTGGATCTGCACAAGCTGCCCTTTCCTTCCTGGTCCGTCAGTAGTGCTGTGCACAGGAAGGGGACAGGACACAGAGGCGTTTCTTTCCACCCCACCTGGCACTCTCATCCCAGCCACTGTTTTCAGAGAAAAAATGCACTCCTTGCCTGGCTGTCAGTAAAACAACAGCTTTCTGTGGAAAAAGCCCCTCTGTATCCCTGGACCTCCTGGGCTGGTGGGAAGGTGCCCTCCATCTCCAGGTGTAGAAGCAGCCTGTTTGCTCCATTGTGTTACATTACAACCCAGGAAAGCTTGACCCTGGCTTTCTCCTGCCCCTGCAGTGCTGGCTGATGAGCTTGTTTGGTTCACACAGAGGGACATTCATAGGGATCTGTGGGGATCTGGCATGTGCCATGTCTCTCTGGTGCACCCCTGGGCCCTGGCACAGCCACCCACCACTGTCATGCCCAGCAGTGTCTGTTGCTTGCAGGAGTGGAGTGTGTCCTCTTCAACGAGGAGTACATGAACTGCACGTGGGGGAACAAAGAGATGCCCACAGTCAACTACTCCCTCTTCTACTGGTAGGTGCCCCTGCCCCATGGCCAGTCCTCCAGCAGAGTGTCCAGCAGTGGGTCCCTGTGCAGGGAGGCTGCTGCCAGCATTGCTGGTCCATCAGGCCTCTCCTGCTCCCCAAGCCCAGGGTGGGGCACGCTCTGTCTCCAGAGCAAGCAGGGTGGGATGTGCTGGGGAGGGGGTCCTGGTGAGGGCTGGGGCATGTGAGGCCTTGGGGAGTCCTGGTAACCCAGTGTGGCACAGGTACAAGAACACGTCTGACAAGGCAGTGGAGTGCAAGCAGTACCTGCAGCACCAGGGTGTCAGGGTCGGCTGCTACTTCAAGAAGAACGAGCTCATCCAGTTCCAGCCTTTCCATGTTCTCATCAATGCCAGCGTTGGAGGCAAGACCCTGGAGATCTCCAGAAAGCACATGCAGCTGCAGGACCTGGGTACAGAGTGGTGGGGGCACCCCCCTGTGGGTTCTCAGAGCTCCCCTGGGGGCTCCCAGCTGGCAGCAGGGCCCTGGCCGTGGGGCCAGCCCTCACTGGGCATCACCTGTCCCTCGCAGTGAAACCAGAGGCGCCTGTCAACCTGACCCTCCGCAACATGAGCAACAACCAGCTGCAGCTCACCTGGGCCTCCCCCTACCCCAGGAACGGGTGCCTGAAGCACACTGTCAAGTACAAGAGCAACAAGGACACCAGCTGGACGGTGAGAGCCCTGGGCATGGCACCCTTGTGGCTGTGCCTGGGCTGAGCTGAGCACCAGCCTCCAAGGTGGTCCCAGCCAGCAGCTCAGGGCTCGTTTCTCTGCAGGAGCTCTCGGTGAATGGAGGTGTCTTCTCCTTACCCAGCGTGGACTATGAGAAGTCCTACACCTTCTATGTGCGCAGCAAGATCAACAGTTTCTGTGGCACAACCCAGCTCTGGAGCGAGTGGAGCGTTCCTGTCACCTGGGGCAGCAACTCCACCAGCAAGGGTAAGTTCTGAGGGCTGCAGTGGGATAGGATGGACTGGAGCATGGCAGGGCTCAGCAGGTGAGAGATGGCCAAGCAAGTAGAGAATGGCCTGAGGCAGCAGCTCTAGGGACAAGACCCATCTGGGCATGTGGGGTGCTGGCAGCAGCATCCTTTGTACTTCTGGAAGCAAAACATACCCCACCAGTGGGACCTGCTGAATTTTGCCAGGGGATTCTTAGCACTGGAGGGAATGGCTGGGCCAGGACAGGGTCACCAGCTAGTTATGGTGACAGGATGGCATTGCCTGGGGACAGGCCCCTTCTCCATGCTCTGTTCCCAGCTGAGCCCTGCCATGAGCAATGCCATGGCCACCCACGCAGGGCCACCTGCAGTCCCACCTGGCTGCCATGGTGGTGTGCTTGCTGTCTGGGGATCAGTGTCACCCCTCTCCTTCCAGGCACGGTGGAGGATCTGTACTGGGTTGGGATCCGCACGATCCTGGTCCCCATTGCCTCCTGCCTGCTGCTGCTGGTGCTTGTCATCCTGCTGGTGCGCATGGAGAGGTGAGCGTGGGGAGCTGCCTGGGCAGCAGCACTGGGGCTCCTCCCTCTAACACACCTCTCCTGCACAGGGTTTGGGTCATCCTGATGCCCCGAATTCCCAACCCCAGCAAGAATTTTGATGAGCTGTTCATCACCCACAACGGCAATTTCCAGGTAAGGTGGCACAGGCAGCCCTGCCCTGGGCTCACCCTGGCTGTGTGGGGTTGGGGCTAGGCTGGGTGGCAGCTCTCTCACCCTGCTCTGCTCCCTGGAGGAATGGACTGGAGTCCCTAAAGATGTTGTGGAGAGCTTCAAGCCCAACTACAGCGAGAACATCTGCTATGTGACTGAGCTGCCACCCAAGGACAGCCACGAGCCCCTCTGGGACAGCAGCAACCATGCACCACCTCCAATGCCTGGGCCCCCAGCAGCCCCCAGCGAGCACAGCCCCTACCAGAACAGCTATGGGAGGCTGTGACATGCTCCTGCACCCCTGTGTGCCCCATTCTCCACAGCTTTGCTGCCAAACCTTACTGCTCCTCAGGCCTGCTCCCTGCTCCTGCCATTTCTCTGCCAAATGCCCTGGACCCCCAGTCTTGCTTCCTGCCAAGTGCCCTCCCTGCTCCCAGGTGCCCACAAGCACACCCAGGGATGTGTCCTGGTGAGGGCAGCTGCAGCTAAGCAGGCAGGGGCCACTAGCCAAGTGATGGGGACACACAGGATGAGGAGTCCCAGGGGGGGCAAGTGTGGAAAAATAAGGAAAGATAGACAAGAAATATTGTAAACATGCTCAAGTGCCTTGCAGCTGATGTAGGGAAAACACATATACCATACTCATGTTGTTTAGCTTTGTGTATTCAGTAAGTAGAACTTGTGTTTAGATAACACAGGCCTGTGATAGACTTAGTGGCACCTTATTTAACATGCTTGAGATTCCTGGCCTGCTGTGGGAAAGATCAGATCACAGTGGTAAACCACAACTGCACAAATCCTTGATAAACAGTCAAAAACAGCAGGTTCAGTGATCCTCTAGGGTGGCCCAAGATCCACAGTGCCTGCATCCCTGCTTATGTGCCTGGGTGCTGCCTGGGGGGGTCCTGCAGTTGGTGAGGTAATGAAAATAAAATTCCTCTTTGCCTTTCATCCGTGGTTTTGTGGTTGTTCCTGTGTCCTGCCTGTGCTGGCTCAGCCGGCCAGCCCCTGTGTCATCCTGGCAGTTCCCCAGGCCTCGCTGCTCCTTCCCCTGTGTCCCCAGTTCTGGTGACACTAAAGCTCTGCCCACCAGGGGATTGCCCAGGCTCGTCCTGCAGGGTCTGGGGAAAGCACCACTGGAGCCCCAGCTCTGAGCACCTCTGACCTCTCACACACAGTGAGGCAGGGGCCAGTCCTGCTGTCCCAGGCTCACAGTGGCAGCGTGTTCATCAGCCAACATCGAGCACATGGATGGGTCCCCTCCTGGCTGCCTCACAGGGCTCCCTGCACACTCGGGGATGTGCTGTGACCTCACTGGGCAATGGGCTCTGCTTTGGGCTCTCCAACCACTTCTGGGGCCACCTGCAGCCCTCAGCCACTGCCGCTGTCCCTGCAGATGAGCAGACCTTTCTGGCCAACACTGACTGCAGTCCCCTGCAGCTGCTCTTACAGAATCCCAGAATCAATTATGTTGGAGAAGACGCTGGAGATCATTGAGTCCAACCTCTGTATGAACTCTACCATGTCAACCATACCATGGCACTAAGTGCCACCTCCAGACACAGAGACTCCCCCACCTACCTGAGCAGTCTAATCCAATGTCTGATCACTCTTTCTGGGAAGAAATTCCTCCTGATGTCCAACCTCAGCCTTCCCTGGCAGAGGCACGTAAGAGCACACACTCCCATCCTATCACTGCTTGCTTGAGAGAAGAGTGGGACCCTTAGCTGGGCCCTTGGACAGCCAGGCCCTGGCACAGCCAGGCCCTGGTACAGCCAGACCTTAGCACAGCTGGACCATGGCACAGCCGGACCCTGGTAGAGCCAGACCTTAGCACAGCTGGACCATGGCACAGCTGGGCCCTGACACAGCCGGGCCCTGACACAGCCTGACCATCAGACAGCCAGGCCCTGACACAGCAGGGCCCCAGTACAGCCAGGCCTGCGGACAGCCGGACCCTCAGACAGCTGGACCCGGGCATAGCTGGGCCCTCGGACAGCTGGACCCTGGTGCAGCTGGGCCCTGACACAGCCAGGCCGTGATGCAGCCAGACCCTGGCACAGCCAGATCCTGGCACACCTGAGCCCCCAGACAGCCGGACCCTGGCACAGCCAGACCCTTGGACAGCCGGGCCCTGGCACAGCCGGGCTCTGTCACGGCCGGGCCCGGGATGGAGTCCCGGCCTGGTTCCCCGCCCGTCCCGTGGTGCCCCGGCGAGGCGGCAGCGCCCCCCAGCGGCGGGGACACCCCGAGCCCCGCCCACCCCGCTGTGGGCGGGGCCTGCGCCCGGCCCCGGTAACTTTCCAGCCCTGCCCACGTGGTGCGGCGGCGGCCGCCCCCTGGCGGCGGCGATTGGCGCAGGCGGGCCCGCCCCCCTGCCTGCCGCGGTGCCGGCTCTGCGCTGCCGGCGGCCGCACCGGGCGGGGGCACCGGCACCGGGCAGCGGGCACCGGGCAGCGGGCACCGGGACTGCGCTCGGCACGGCACGGCACGGGCTCACCATGATCGTGTGTCCCCAGAGCGTGGAGCACCCCCGAGGAAGCCGATGCCAGCGGCTGCCGGGGCAGGTAGGACCCGCCCCGCCGCCACCACCGGAGCCCGTACAGGAGCACCGGGCTCAGCCCTGCTCGCCGCCACCGGGCCGGCACGGCTAGGGCACCAGCAGGCCGGGGCATGCCCGCTGGCCGTGCGCGGGACGGGCGAGGCTGTGCTCTCGGGATGCCGCGACCGGCGGCTCGGTCTTGGTCCTGGTCCTACTCCCGGTGCCGGTGCTGGTGCTGATGCCGGTCCCGGTGCGGCGGTGGCGTCCCCGTCCCCTTTGTGCGGGATGCGGGAGGCGCCGTGGCTCCATCACTGCCAATCAAACTTGTTTTTCTCTCTCCGCCTGCACTGCCCGCGCCGCTCACCGGGGGCGCTGCCGCCGCCGCCGCCCGCACAATGGGGCCCCGGGTACCGGCCCCGGGTACCGGCCGCCGGCACCGCCGGAGGGGTCCCTGCTGCAGGCACTCGGACTTCCCCTGTCCTCTCGAATACCCAGGCACAAGGGCTGGGCCAGAGGTGCTGCCGCGGCACCGTATCCAGAGAACGTTACCGGAGGAGCCACCGGTACCGGCGGAGCCGCGGTCTCACCGGGCGAAAGGATGAGCCCCGGCCGGGCGGGGAGCACGGTGGGGTCTACCGGCCCCTCTCCCGCACATCCCGGCGCTGTCCGGGCTCCTCAACCTCCTGCCTGCTTTATGTGCTCACGGCTGCCGGCCGGGAGCCTCGGGCACCGTTCCCCCGGGGTCCGCCGGGCGGGGAGGGGACGAGGTCTGTGGTGGGTACGGCGGGTACGCATCTGAGGTGCCTGCTAAGAGTTCGGGGGGCCCGGACACACGGAGGTTCCCCTGGGAGGAAGGCGATGCTCCCACAGCCCGGGAGTGCGAGTGGATGCACTCCGGGAGGAGGAGGAGGAGGGCTGTGGCCGAGGAGGATGAGGAAGGTGCCACTAGGGCCAAGCGAGAGGTTGGGGAGGCAGAACTGAGGGCAGGCGGTGCTGGTAGGAGACACCCTGGACTGAGCTGGTGCCTTTGGGAGTGGGCAGTTTAGCCTGGCCAGGGGCTGAGAGCCGAGGAGGTGGCTGTTCTGCACCTTCATCCCCCCCTTCCTTCATCATCTCCTTCTAAGACACATCTGCCTGGTTGCTTGCTCCATCATCACCTGGACAAGCGGAGTGAGGAGAGCTGGCAGCACCAAAGGCTGAGCCATGGTTGCACAGCTCCTTCCTGAGACCACCTTTCCCAGTATTGGGGAGTGGAAGGGCCCTTGGCTCCTCCACCTCAGCCCTCCAGGACAATACCAGGGCTGTAGCCCCTTGGGTGTCCTCACAGCATCTCATTTCCCCAGGCAGAGGGATTTTGTAGGGGGCTTCTGCAGGTCACTTCTGGCTTTCATCTTCTGTCGATCAGAGAAGCTGGTGCTTTTCATCTTTCCATTTTAATAGGAGTTTTGGGGTTTTGTGGACCCCTTTTACCAGAGGAAGTGAAGAGGACACTCTAAATGTCAAGTAAACCTCTTGTTACTTGAGCGATGGTGTTTTCACCAGAAGTGCAGGATGGTGGAAAATAGCCTGAGCTGCTTCCTGCACTACCTGTGTGGGTGCAACTGTTCTGTGCAGCCACACAGCTCACCCCTGCTGTCTGCCCCTCACCCCTGGCTGCTCTGCCATGCACCCTGGAGCTTTGGTGGTTTGCAGAAGTGCTCCTGGTTTTCTCCATTGTTGCCATGCTCCAGTCACCAGCCAGCCTTTGGGTGACTGCACTGGAGAGCCAGGTGAAAGGAACAAGACAGTGGTGTCAGCAGGGCCAGAGTTTCCCAGGAGAGATTTCAGTTCAGGCCTGGGAGCAGAGATGCATCCTTTGCATCCAGGGGTGCTGCTGGGCTCCCACTGTGCCTTCCTGTGTGACAAGAGTAGCACCTGCTGTACTTGTAACTAGGGGTGGGCAGGCTGCAGGTGCTGTCAGGTGGGAATTGTGGCAACACGGTCCTTGGAGCATGGCAGCTGCCTGGGCATCTTTCCAACATCCCTGCCCTCTGTTCCCACCATTCTCTCAGGAGGGGCTGGAGCTGTGCTGGACCCTGGTGCCAGGCTGGTGCAGGCATTGCTGGGGGTGTCTGTGTCTTGCCAAGCTGCCCATCTGTGTTTTCTCTGGTGGGCACAGAGCTGTCCTCTGTGCTGCAGGATGCCCTCCCATGCTGTCTGCTTGGGCAACATGTGGGGAGCTCTTCTGGGTGCTCCTAATCACATAGAAGGTACCAGGCCATGGTTTGCCTCTTGGCTTGCCGGGGCAGGAGCCTGAGAGCCCCTCTGCTGTTTCCACAGCTCTCTCACATCTTGGTACTGGATAGGAGGGCTCCATGCTGGCAGATGGGCTGCCCATTCTGGAATGTATTTTGTGTTGTGTTTCTCCTGATCCGGCCTTGCACCACTACAAGGATCATTCCTGGTTTGCCCTTTGGTTCTGCTCACCATGCAGAGCCTTCTCCCAGACAGAGGCCAATCTGGGTGTCTTGCTACCTGTCCTCCTGTGTCAATGAGCAGTGCTCTGTGTGAGTGTCTGTCCCTCTGGCAGCACCAAGCTGGGAGAGGGATCTCTGCCTCTTGCAGAGCCTGTGCTTAGCTGGGGTGTGCTGCTGCAGCAGGGGCTGCTCTGGGAAGAGCTAAGCAGAGCATGTTTCCTGCAGGTAGTGAAGATGTCCAGCAGTGACCCTGAGTGCCCCCAGTTCCTCTTTGTGAAGGTGCTGGCAAGCCGAGGGAGGCTGGAGGCGGTGACCCAGCAGATGGGATACCACCCCCAGTACCTGGACAGCTTCCTCAAGACACAGCACTACCTGATGCACATGGACGGGCCCCTGCCCTTCGACTGCCGGCACTACATTGCCATCATGGTGAGCCCTGCTGGGACCTGCCAGAGGGGATGGGGGCTCTGGGCTCTGCTCAGCCCTGTGGGGCTCTCCGTAACCTCCAGCAGACACAGCCTGTGCCGTGGGCTTCTCATCAGGGGCCAAAATCACAATGTCCTGGAGGCTGAGTGAGAGGTGGGTGTGGGGGCCTGTCCTGCTGGGGCAGTGATGCTGATGTGCTGCTCTTGCAGGCAGCAGCCCGGCACCAGTGCCGGTACCTGGTGAACCTGCACGTGCTGCAGTTCCTGCGGGCAGGGGGGGACCCCCAGTGGCTGCGCGGCCTCGAATTCATCCCCCCCAAACTCCGCAACCTCAACGAGATCAACAAGATCCTGGCACACCGGCCGTGGCTCATCACCAAGGAGCACATTGAGGTACTGGGAAGGGTTCTCAGCCAGGGACCAGGATGGCAGTGGGAACAGCAGCGTCCCCAGGGGCTGCCAGCACCCTGCCCATGTGTCACATTGCTGGTGTGTCCATGTTCTGCAGAAGCTGCTGAAGATCAGCGAGTGGAGCTGGTCACTGGCAGAGCTGGTGCACGCCGTCGTCCTCCTGGCACACTGCCATGCACTTGCCAGCTTTGTCTTCGGCTGTGGCTGCGAGCAGGACGAGGGGCTGGGGGGCCGGGGCGTGCTGAAGCCACTGTCACTCGGGAACCAGTGCTTCTGTGAGGCCACTGCCAGCAACAGCTACGGCCAGGAGCTGCTGCGCATCAACCGCAAGCGGGTGAGCCCCAGGGTGGCTGTGCAGGGGATGGGAGCAGAGGGTGGCTGTGCAGGGGATGGGGGGATACCCCTGGAAGTGCTGCCCTCACCCCCAGGCCTGTGTCTGTGCAGTCCCTGGACTCCTGCATGGAGCTGGATTCCCTCCGGGAACGCATGCAGCGGATCCATGTGGAGACTGAGGGCAGGGATGAGATGAGGCTGCTGCAGCAGGACCGAGAGGAAGGTGAGGGGCAGGGAGCAGGGTGGGTATGCAGGGTGGGAGTTCATGTGGCATCCCTGTGTGTTTGTTGCTCCTCTATGCCTTACATTTTCCATGATGTGTGGTTCAGAGGGGCTCAAGGGATGCATGTGGGGCAGAGCAAGGACTGGTTGATGTGGTTGGGGACAGGGCAGCTGAGCACTGCTCTGACCCAGCTGCAGGGCTCTCCCCTCTTGCAGATACTGATGGGGAAGTCACCGGTGCCACCAACCTTGCGTGCTACATGCAGGACCCTGACTTTGGATACCAAGACTTTGCCCGGCGTGATGAGGATCAAACGCAGGTATTCAGAGTCCAGGTAAGACTCCTGCTGTCTGGGTGGGCAGCACCTTGGGCTCCCCTCCCCTCCCATAAATAGTGGCAGAGTTGCCCATGCAGACTGGCCCTGCCCCAGGGTTGGGTTGGGAGGTGACTTCTGTCCCCAAGAGCTGATGATTTTTTCACATGGCCCTCCTGGAGGCAAGGGTAAAAATCATTCAAAAGGTGCTTGATAAGGGATGTATGTGGTTTGGGCAGAGCTACCTCCAGAGCATATTCACTGAATTCTTCTGCTTCCCAAGGTCTCCAGGCCTTCTTCCTGGGAACATGCTCCAAGCTCCTTTTTGCAATTGCAAAATCCTCTTGCTGTGCTCAACAGGATTATTCCTGGGAAGACCATGGCTTCTCACTGGTCAACCGGCTGTACTCTGACATTGGGCATCTCCTGGATGAGAAGTTTCGGATGGTGGATGGTCTGCAGAGCAGTGC